GACAACTGGCGCCATTACGTGAAAACTAGTTATGGACCCGTCCTATCTCCTATCCAATGGGTTAAAATGAGTGGAACTTTACCTCCACCCCCATACGCCTTAATGATGTGATGCTTCTGCACGAGAACAATCTACCTTCCGACAATATAGGGAGCACGGAGTAACATACGCAGGTATATACACGAATAATTTGGCAACTGTTAATGCTCATGAAATGTCACTGTTGCTTTGCAGGAGTATGTAAGTGCCTGGAGACATACACAGGGCTCAGGTGAATGCTTCGACGGAATAATGATCAAGTAAACGGGCAATTTAGGACATTGTGGTGTACAGACCAGTTTTTAGGCAGAGAATTCGAAACAAACAAAACATTAGCTGCTAGGCAACAGATTTTAATAACTGACGGCCGCTGCTAGGGAACGGCTTGGTAAATACGTTCCCACGGCAACGGATACGTATGCAACAATAGAGGTACTGTTAAAAACGGAGTTCTTTACAGTGGTTCGTGCCGAGGGGCTATAAGGAGGCCAATTGGAGCAATAATTCATGTAGTGACATGTAAAATGTAAATATATTGCACACTGTACAATGCAAAAGTTAGACCCGTCCTCTCGTTGGAGAGGCCGCCCCACATCAACAAAGCCGCAACTGTCTGACAAACTTTCTCCAAGTACAAGAATGTGCTGTCGGACAATAGGCGCTCTCTCACTTTCGAGAATCGCAAGTTGACTGTCATCTATTGCAACTCTGACTGAGGTAAGACTTAAATGTTGGAACACATACCGTATATGTACATTTGATAAGCGTTCTAACACGATAGAAAAAATTGTATTAAAACATTTAGCTTCAAATTCAATCAATACTGCTTAATTTTCAACATAAAAAACGAGGACGAACTTAAAGAGTAAAGATGAGTTCAGTGTTAATAAAGATCAAAAAAACATTTTAAAATAATTAGTATATATTCTGACATATTACATTCTTGGGTCATATTTTAGGTCATTTTTCTGGATTTTTTTCGGTCATTTTTTAAATATTTTCAGGTCATCAAAATCCGGGCCCTGGTAATTACACTGCATTACCTTGGCTTAAATTAAAGCGTTAAATAACAAGCCAGTAGGGCAAGGTCGGACCTACAATCAATTTCACACACTCTAACGAAGCTTGAAGCGAAATACTTGCACCTCGTTTCGACGTTGAAATAACACAGAGTGGAAAGGCGTATTTTAACGAAGTATACGTATTTTACAAATTCGTTATTTGCTATATTCCGTAAGTAACTGGCCTTGAAGTTAATTGATCGTAGATACTCGTAAAATCCAGCGTTGCAAATTAATTGCACCGCAGACATAACATCAAGGTACAAAGTCATGCGTTAGGTTTCTTATTCCTTGAAATCGCTATCGCCAAAAATCAACAGGCCAGCCATCCACCCTCTGTAAAACACAAGTACGTCTACTACTTCAATTACGACGGTGGTGTCCGCCGTCCACTGCCATGACAATCTCAATTCAGACAATATTAAGTCCTGCATTGAAACGTATTACAAAGGTATTAGACTCACACACATGCTCAGCACACTCTTCCCTTCATGGAACGTCACTTCTGCTAGCAACTAGTCTGAAAACATAGTATTTAAAACGTGTCATCAACAGGGGTTGAACAAAATAATGGACATACCACAGATACTGTACACAGTTCTTTATTAATATGGCGTTGGGCCACTCTTTGCCTTCAATACAGCCGCAATATTTCTTGGAATGCATTCGTACAAGTTCTGAACAGTCTCTTGCGGAATTTTATGCCTTTCTTCTTGAAGAATATCTTAAAGCTGCTTTAGTGATGTTGCAGGTGGGAATATGTTCCTCACTCGGTCTCCAAAACTGACTAGAGTGGTTCAATAATATTCAAATTTGGTGAGTGTGCTGACCAGAGAAAATGTTAAAGTTCACCTTCATGCTCTACAAACCATGACTGAACGGTTCCAGTTTTGTGAATGCGGGTATTGTCGTGTTGGAGAACTGCGTCACTGTTCGGAAATAACGTCTGGATCGTGGGTACCTGATCATCCATCCTGTCCACATAACTCCCTCGCAGTAATTCGGCCATGAAAGGTAATAATTAGGCCAAAAGAATACTGTACCACGATATTGCTGCCGAAAATCATCACAGAACCTCCCCTGTGTTTCACTGTTGGGACCAGGCATTCCGAATTGTAGGCTTCCTTCGGTGTTCTCCAAATGTGAACTCTTCCTGATGTAGGGAACAGCGTGAAGGACGTACTCACCTAACCATATCACGCTCGTCTTTCCAGTTGTCTGATGCCCAGGTTTTATGGTCATGACACCACCGTTTACGCGTGAGAGCATTACTTTCAGTAATCAGACGTTTAGCAATTGCAGCCCTACCGTGGATGTTGCATCTGTGAAGCTCAGTCGGACAGTTTTTGTGGAAACAGAGTCTGTATGCCGACATAACCTTACAAACGGTCGCTGCCGATATACCAAATAATGTGGTAATTTTTATCACAGATGCTCCAGCTAAACACGCGCCAACGATATGTCCCCTTCCAAAATCGGACAAATCTCACATTTTATGATTCTTTCACACGGACTCTCATTCAACACGACCACTAAAGTACTGACGCGAGCGCTACAGAATGTAAAGGAAAGGAAGAATTTTCAGTGTTGTCAACTGAAGTTCTTTCAATTTTGCCAACATAAACAAATTATATTCCTCAATTTCTTAGTGTTTCCGTTGCCCACCCTCTGTACGTGACCTGACAGCCCAGCCCTAATGGCTCAAACGGGTCAGTAAATGGAGAGTTTTTCTTTCGGAGAATTGAGAGCAGAAGATTAGTTTTCCTCTCGGAGAATCGAGAACAGAAGATTAGTTTTCCTCACGGAGAATCAAGAGCAGAAGATTAGTTTTCCTCTGGGAGAATCAAGAGCAGAAGATTAGTTCTCCTCTCGGAGAATCAAGAGAAGATTAGACAGATTTGGATTTGGGAACTAAAAGCTCAGAGTTCCAGTGACTCGCTATAGTGGGCAAATTTCTCTGCATTTCAGTTTCTGATTTCTTATTAGAACTATGTATCATTCCAACATTGCCTTGTGGAAAGCTGAAAACACTTCACAATCCGCATCCAAAGAAAAAGTGCACACACTTCATACCATAATTTTCTGCTCTGTATTGAACTTATCGTTCGATCCAAGCAGAAACCTGAAAAACACATGTCCACTAACACATTGCCAGTATCCAGATGCAGGAACGTTACGTGTCACAGATTCGCGTATGCATTTCCGCCCCTTCATTCTCTTTCAAGGAATCACGAAGTTCATGTGGGATTTGTGGTCGACAAAATTGAACTGGGACAGCTTCTCACATAAGTACTTCGGTTTCCATTGCCAATTCTCATTCCACTAAGAGCTCTATTTCTCTCATCAGTCACAAACGACTGGCATAATTGGTGATTTAAGACCCAGGAACTAGGAGATTCAGTCTCACTCCACTTTAAGCACAAACAGGACACTTCAAAAGGTAACTAACCAAGTAAGAAAACGTAGCTATGGTGTAACAATTCTGGCGCATTCGCTTCATTTTATCTCATCTAGAGAACGGTAAGATTTATGGAAAATGTGTATTATTTATATTTGGTTCAATTTCCTCTGCAAAGTATGCTCTACATGTTTTGCACCAGCGAGTTACGCCAGACATGCGCGCAAAAGGGCATACACGTCTTCATGTAAAGTGTCTGTTACAGTTGCCCAATCATAAACAAAAGTGTAACGTGTTGAAAAATTTTATTAAAACTCACCACTATCACATTTTATGAAAATCCATTCGCCGTTCTTGAGTTGTTACATGTGGACAGACAGACAGACACATAGGGAGAAGCTAATAAGTATATTTTTGGAGCTTCTCGTTGTGAAGCGCCAAAAACAGAAAGCTCTGGATGAGGTGTTCTCTCTTCTACAGTTGATGTCTCTTGAATACTAGGTCTAACGACACCGAACGCTAGAGTCCAGCAGTCTGCTTGAAAAGTAATGAAAGGGCTGAATTTCCAATATTAGGTACAATGTTCTTAACTACATGCGAAAGAAACGCGTATAATGCAATAACATTGGTCATTCTCAAATCCATAAGAATAATTCGAAAAAGATGCCAGACTTGCACTGGTACAAATGGTACGGAAATTTGAGCAGACCACTTACATGCTCATATAAATTTCATACATTTTTCCATACCCAAAGAGGTTACGGAGTACTTTATGCAAAAACTGGACAGAAGAAGCAACATAAGTTTATAAAACAATAATAAGATAAGGCTGTCCCTGTAACAGACAATCGGCTCACAGATGGCGGCAAGGTTGTCAGCCTTACGCCCTTTATCCCCTAGGAATATTCCTGGTACCTATTTCTGTTAGAGGCTGAGTCAACACCAGGGCCATAGTGCGACTGGAAGGATTAGGTCAGTTGGGAAAATTCAATGGCCTTATCGGGAATCAAACGCCCGCGACCTTCCGGCTTGTAGCGTAGTGCCTCAGTAATAATATAATTATATATAATTAACAACAATAATGATAATATTAATGATAATAGATTTCTTTTTGTCTCAGCGCCACACAATGAAGGCATAATGGGGGTGTGGAGGTAAAGCTCCACACATTATTAATCTCGGCATTAGGAGGTGAGTATGATCCGGCTGCTTTGCACCAACGAAAAACAGCGCTACGTTCGCATTTGACAAAAGGTTGGGTAGGCCCCAAGCGGGTATTAAGAAAGTTAAAAAGGAAAGAATCCCTACCCTTTCCGAGAACCAAACCCCGGCTCCGTGGTTCGGCCAGCAGGCATTGTGACTGAGAAACATCATCATCAATGAGTGGTGGTGGTGGTGATGGTGGTGGTAGTAGTAGTAGTAGTAGTAGTAGTGGTGGTGGTGGTGGTGGTAGTAGTAGTAGTAGTAGTAGTAGTAGTGGTAGTAGCAGTAATCTCACTTACTGAGGGAGGCATTGTTGAGTTTATTCTGGTCCACCTGTCCACGCAGAGCCCGGAGCTTCCGGAGTTTCAGTTCCTGCGCCTCGACTCGATCCCGGAGCCGCCGAAGCCGCTCATTTTCAGCCGCCACCTGGTGATGCCGCGCCTCTTGCTGTTTCAAGAAGCGAAGGCGCTGTTCCTTTGCCACTAGCAGTTGGTGCTGCGAGTCTATTTGGTGCTGCTGCCTGCAGGCCATCTCCTGAAGCTCCCCTAGCGTCAGCTCCACCCCGTCTGGCAGCTGTAACAAAACGTATGATTTGGGAACGGTTAGTACAATCGTCGCTCAATAAACACAATGGTCACGTGTGTGTACCTTCACACGTGATTATAATCAAGCTAAGTGTCAGTACACTTTAACATAAGCATAACCCCGAACCCGTGGTCGAGTACCTTTCTTTTTTCGTTATACAGAATGTTCCGCTCGGAGGAGGCTCCGCAGTAGTAATTATAAATTTCCCCCCCCCCCCAAAAATTTCCCACAAAAACGAATCGTGGCAACACTGACCCAGTGCCTATCCGTCCAATTCGCGCCGTTTCCTTCAGTCTGCAACCCCTCCAGCAATGCTGGCCGCAGCTTTCGGGAATTTGAACAGTCGTGTCGACCCGTGCCTCCAGGCAGAAGGAAACAAATTTCAGCGTCTTCTTTAACCTAATTTTATCCACATCTACAGAGGGATGTGCTAGCAAACTTTCGCATTTATCAGCAAATTATTGCGTGATTCATAACTTAATTCGGGTCTCTTCCTAGTGAATCAACCTGTTACTATTCTTCATTGTCCTCTCCTGCACAGAGTTATGTTAACATGCCACTGCATCGGAAATAAATATACAAGGGAAGAAAGGACCAAATACATAATAAAAAAAAACGAATTTCCGACTCTGCATGCTAGGTTGACCTTCACATTAATTTGTGTCCTACATTTCATACAAAAATTCATTTTCCACCCACTGCCAAAAGTCAATTATTTAACGAGTAGTCAAAACCTACATACTCAATTAATGATTCAAATTTTGGCCCTTTCAAGGACTTTGTTATCGGAACATAAACAAGTGTTACGGGGCCAAATGAGATTAATGTGAAAGTTGTCCCAGTGTAGGCATTCACTTCAGGTCAAAAATCGCTTTAACGGAACAGCTGTGTAGGAAGGCACACCTTCATAATGGAAAACCAATTTATGAGTTTAAAAATTAGAATTCTTCAACGAATGGGGGCAGGAAACTTAGCGAAACGTTGAATGATCTGGTTGATTCTTTAGGAGGACTAAATTCAAAACAGACAATTTATTCGCCATAGAAAATAAATACTGGATTATTTTCGTCATTCTTTTGGCATTCGTAATTTTTTTTCAGTGTCAAAAACTCTAGTTGCGTCCGTAGGAAACTTTTCGATACTTTGTTTCTGCTACATGATAGAGGGTAAGGTCGCTTGTGACGTTTTCTTTTAAAAAGGTGCAAGTAAAAAAATTAAGTAAAGGTATCCCTGTAACAGGCCGTGGAGGCCCATAGGGTTGTGAGATGTTGAGGTTCCCACATTTTCTAGACAATCGACTCATAGATGGCGGTAAGGTTGTCGGCCCTACGCGCCGGCCGCCCTTTACCCCCAAGAACATTCCAAGAATATTCCTGGTACTCATTTCTGTCAGAGGCTGAGTCGACCCCAGGACCATAGTGCGGCTGGAATGATTAGGTAAACTGAAAAAAGTCCGCGACCTTCCGGCTTGTAGCATTGTGTTTCACGAACTACGATACCGCGCGATTTTTTTCTAAAGATGTTGTCCTTGTAAGTCTTCCTGCAAGAACTGAGAACATTTCTTTTGCGCCCATTTCCTGCCCGTCGCTGAGATTTTTCGTAGTTTTGTCAAAAACTGTCTTCATGTTCAGACCACAGGTCAAAATGAGATCCGTAACTTATCCAATCACATTCAGTTAACTCTCTTTTTCCATTCCATCCGTTCTTGAAGAAGTCGGAGGGCTGGTTCTTTAGTCATCTTTAACGTCTTCCTTGGGAGGGCCGCGCCATAGCTCAAGCGGTTAGTCGCTGGCTTCCCACCGTGGCGGCCCGGGTTCGATCCCGGGTCTGGTCAAGTGGGATTTGTGGTGGGCAAAGTGGCGCTGGGGCGGGTTTTCTCCGAATACTTCCGTTTCCCCTGCTAATCTTCATTCCACCAAATTCTCCATATCATAATCACCCGGGGCAGGCTACAACAGGCCAATCAGTGGCCGTTGTACCGAGTGGACCCAGTTGGACTCCACCCCCAACTAAGCGAATTCAAAAAAAAAATTTACGTTCTAACCTGAATCAGAAATACTACTGCCATACTTCTCCATNACCGCGGCCCGGGTTCGGTCAAGTGAGATTTGTGGTGGGCAAAGTGGCGCTGGGGCGGGTTTTCTCCGAATACTTCCGTTTCCCCTGCTAATCTTCATTCCACCAAATTCTTCATATCATAATCACCCGGGGCAGGCTACAACACGCCAATCA